GTTTGGTTTTTCGAGACAGGGTTTCTCTGTGGCTTCGGAGGCTGTCCTGGAACTCGATCTTGTAGACCAGGCTGGTCTCAACTCACAGAGATCCTCCTGCCTCTGCCTCCTGAGTGCTGGGATTAAAGGCGTGCGCCACCAACGCCCGGCTGCTTTCACTTTTATTTAAAAATTTTTTCATTAATTTTTTACATTCCAATCCTAGTTCTCCCTCCCTCTTCTCCTCTCTCTCCCCACATCCCCCCTCCACCTCCCATCTGCTCCTCAGAGAGGGTAAGGTCTCCCCTAGGAAGTCTACTAAGTTTGTCCCATCATTTCGTTGAGGTATTGGCCTGATTTTCTTATAGAACCCAGGACCATCAGCCCAGGGATAACACCATCCACAAGGGGCTGGGCTCCCCCATCAATCACTAATTAAGAAAATGCCCTGCAGGCTTGCCTACAGCCTTCTCTTATAGAGGCACTTCTAGTTTTTTTTTTTGTTTGTTTGTTTTGTTTTTTTGAAAGTTTTTCTCTGTTAACAGCCTTGGCTGACCTAGAACTTGCTTTGTAGACCAGACTGTCCTGGAACTCTGAACTCACAGAGATCCACCTACCTCTGCCACCAGAATGCTGGGATTAAAGGCAGGCACCTCCATGCCCTGCTGGAGACTCACTTTCTTTTTTTTTTTTTTTTTTTTGGTTTTTCGAGACAGGGTTTTTTTGTGGCTTTGGAGGCTGTCCTGGAACTCACTTGGTAGTCCAGGCTGGCCTCGAACTCACAGAGATCCGCCTGCCTCTGCCTCCCGAGTGCTGGGATTAAAGGCGTGCGCCACCAACGCCCGGCTGAGACTCACTTTCTTAATTGAGGTTCCCTCCTTTTCAGATAACTCTAGTTTGTGTCAAGTTGACATAAAACTATCAAGCACTATCGCTCCTCCTGCCTCAGGCTCCTCAGTAGCTGCGATGACAGGCACCTGTCACTGTGCCTACTTTAAGTCATATTTCTACTGGACAATGTTGTTATAACCAGTGTTGAATTGGACACATTCAAATAACAATACAAGGTTCTGTAAAGACTAATTATTTGAGGAGCTCTGGGGAAACATTAGGCCTCCAACCCTAGAGAATGCCTCTTGGTGAGATGTTACTCTGAATAATCCCATAGCCTCCAGGGTAACATTGCTTCTCATTTTGGCCATGCCACTTGCTCTGTGTGACATTGGGTACTTTACATTACATCTGTCAGTGAGACTAATGGCGCTGGAGAAGTCATCTCAGGAAGCAACTAGCATAGTGCCTGGCACACCTGATTCAGATCAGCAGTGACTGCTGCTACCACTGAATGTGAGGATGCTGCTGCCACTGACTGTGAGGATGCTGCTGCCACTGACTGTGGGGATGCTGCTGCCACTGACTGTGGGGATGCTGCTGCCACTGACTGTGGGGATGCTGCTGCCACTGACTGTGGGGATGCTGCTGCCACTGACTGTGGGGATGCTGCTGCCACTGACTGTGGGGATGCTGCTGCCACTGACTGTGGGGATGCTGCTGCCACTGACTGTGGGGATGCTGCTGCCACTGACTGTGGGGATGCTGCTGCCACTGCTGCATCCGATGCTTGGGTCTGACTGTACCACTCGTTTGGGTGAGGAATGGACCAGAGGGAAGATGGGAGCTGGGATGGGGAACTGGGGGTGCTTTATGTGGTATCTCCATAAATGGCTTACCTTTGGGGAACCTCTTTGGGTTTCCTCTTATGCCAGTGATCAGGCAAAGATAAGTCCCTATCTTTTGGTTTTTCCAGACAGGGTTTCTTTGCATAGCCTTGGCTGTTCTGGAACTCACTCTGTAGATCAGGCTAGCCTTGAACTCAGAGATCCACCTGCCTCTGCCTCCCGAGTTCTGGGATCAAAGTTGTGCACCTTCACTGCCCAGAGATAAATCCCCATTTTTGCAGATGAGGAAGTAGAGGCCTTTCCAAGGAAAATTTTCTAGTTACGTAGACAGAACATACTTCCCAACCTTGTTTTAGTGATGGTAGGGCCAGTGTTCCTTTAGGTTGTTATAGGAGACAGGAACAACTGAGGATTGGTATTGTCTCTTGTAACAGAACAGGGTTATGCTAGTTTGCTTTCTATTACTATGATAAAAACTAGGACCAAAGGCATCTTGGGGAGGAAAGGGTTTATTTGGCTTACACATCCCAGGTCACAGCCATCCCTGAGTGAAGTCAGGGCAGAAACTCCAGGCAGGAACTGAAGCAGAAACCATGGAGGAACACTGCTTGCAGACTTTCTCAGCTTCCTTTTTTAGACAACCCAGGACCACCTGCCCATGGTGGCACCACCCACAGTGAGTTAGGTCCTCCCACATCAATTATCAATCAACCCCTCCCAAGACTTGCCTACAGACCAGTATAATGGAGACAGTCCCTTAAATGACATTCTGTCTTCCCAGATGACCCTAGCTTGTATCGAACTTGTCAAAATGCCAACCAGCCACAGTGCCTTTTTTTTTTTTTAATTTTTCGAGACAGGGTCTCTCTGTATTGTTTTGGAGGCTGTCCTGGAACTCGATCTGTAGACCAGGCTGGCCTTGAACTCACAGAATCCGCCTGCCTCTGCCTCCTGAGTGCTGGGATTAAAGGCGTGTGCCACCAACACTCGGCCACAGCGTCTTTTTTGTTTGTTTTTGGTGTGTATGTATGTGTGCATATTCATGTGTTTGCATGTATTTGGAGGCCAGAGGATAGTCTATGGTGGCATTCCACAGGTGCCACCCCCTCTCGGCCCCACCCCATACCCCAGCCGGGCTCTCACTGTATAGCCTTGGCTGTCCTGAACTCTGCTACGTAGAATGGGCTTGAACTTGCAGTGATTTTCCTGCTCTGCCTCCTGAACATTGTAATTACAGGCTTGTATCACCTCTGCTGGCTCTGAGAGAGTCCTGACACTGTTCAGTGTAGCTGTGTCGTTTTGGGGCTACAGAGGAGGAAGGGAGCAGGGAGGAGAGGATAGAGTACAGGGTGCCAGGCTGGGATCACATAAGAAAGATGGTGGCCAGTTGGTGCCTCTGTCACTTAGCTCCCGTTGTCTGCTCAGTCCTGCCAGGACTGTGGCCTCCTGTCCTGTCCAGAGAGGGCTTCTGAGAAAGAGGCTTTTGTTCTAGCTCCTTCTGTTTTCCTGTTAAGGTACCCTGGGGCACATGCGCATGTGGGTGCTCTGGGGCTCATGACGTGCAGTGGAGGCATACACAGCCACTGCTGCCTGATGTCATCCCTTCCCGTTCCTGAAACCAGAGCCTCTGTGTAACCATCTACTGTCTGGAGAGCACAGGGAGACCACAGGCTTTCTCACCAAGGCGTCTGGTCAAATTTCCCTCCCGCAGTTTATTTTCCCTCTGACCTCAGGCAGGTCATTTGGAAATTTTTTAGCCTTACTTTCCTTATCCAAAAAACAGCAATCAAAATAATGTACAGACATCCAGGCAGTGGTGGCACACACCTTTGATCCCAGCACTTGGGGGGGGGGGGGTGCAGAGGCAGGTGGATCTCTGTGAGTTTGAGGCCAGCCTGGTCTACAGAGTGAGTTCCAGGACAGCCTCCAAAACAATACAGAGAAACCCTGTCTCGAAAAACCAAATGGTGTACAGACAACATAATAGTTAGGTACCATGGTCCAAATTCCATGTTGTGGGGCACACCTTTAATATTGGGGAGGCAGAGGCAGATGGATCTCTATGAGTTCAAGGCTAGCCTGGTCTATATAGTGAGTGCCAGACTAGTCAGGGCTACCTAGAGAGACACTAACTGGGAGAAGAGGAGGAGGAGGAGCAAGCAGAAGCAGCAGCACCGACTCCACCCCTGCCATTCCCACCTCCCCCCAGCAGCACCGACTCCACCCCTGCCATTCCCACCTCCCCCCCAGCTCCCACCAGCATGGGTCCTGCAACCCAGTGGCTAGTGAGGGTGTGATGTCTCATCCCGCTCCTCCCTACTGTGCCTTCCGTGTGTCAGTTCACCCTGGAGTCCTGTCCTCTCTGAGGGTGGAGCTCTCCATAAGATCTTCTCCTTTAATTCCCTGTTGGCTCTAGAGGCTGATGCCACAGCTCACACCTTCTCTAGATTAGGAGCCAAGTGACTTGGCCAGGCCACACAGTTCACAAGCCAGACCCTGTGCGTATTCCTCCTCTTCACTTGGTCGTCATGTTCCTCATGAGAGCAAACACGGAGATTGGCGCTTCTGAGTGCATAAGGACTCCGGTCTTCTCTCCCAACTACACTGCCCATTGTGTGCCAGGCCAGATGGAGCTCAAAGAAGAAACAAGGGGACTTAAGACCTCCATGACGGATGGAGTTATACCAGAGCAAGAGTGCCAATGTTAGGAAGGCCCTAAGAGATGCCTAAGGCCAACCGCATTATGTCACAGGTGGGGAGACTGAGGCAGAACAGGCAGGTGGAGACACTGATGGGTGGTGCTGGAAACCGCTGGGCTGATGTGAAGGAAAGCCCTGAGGTGCCCTGCTGTCTGTCCTCTGCTCTACCAGGGCACTGTGACGTCTATGGGTCCCACCTTTAAGTGCCTCTCTAAGTGTCGCTTTGTCTCTGTGGCTGTTCAGCCAAGCTCCTTCCTCGTTAATTCTCCCACAGTTTCTTATTTTCTTTTCTTTTTTCTTTTTTTTGGTTTTTCGAGACAGGGTTTCTCTGTGGCTTTGGAGGCTGTCCTGGCACTAGCTCTTGTAGACCAGGCTGTCCTCGAACTCACAGACATCCGCCTGCCTCTGCCTCCCAAGTGCTGGGATTAAAGGCGTGCGCCACCAACGCCTGGCCAGTTATATTTTCTTATCTCCTGTCCTCTCCAGCCTGTAGCTTCACGGTGGCCTTAGAGTGAGGACTCATCCTCGAGTTAGCCTCCGCCTGCCCTCTGGCACTGTGTGGCTCAACAACTTGCCAGGTTCCTCAGATCTTCCTGTGCCAGCCTCACATGCCAAAGAGGCTAATACTCTCTTCTCATTCCAGGTACCTGGCTGAGGACGTCTTCCCCGGGGAGCCCGTGTGCAGAGGAGGGGTGAGTGCCCCCGGGGAGCCCGTGTGCAGAGGGGTGAGGGCCCCAGAGGCTGTCTCTTGCTTCAGCAGAGGTTGGGCCCAGAGGTTCTGGACTGTTCTGTTAATGCTGAGGCAGCGGCCTCAGGTTCTGCTAAGGCTGACAAAGGGACTGTGCCGAGGCTGTCCCTGTGGAAGAGCCTGAAGTATTGCTTCTCTGAGCACGCTGGCCGGTGAAAGTCTGTCTGAGCCACTTGCCCACCTAGGGTGGAGACAGCAGACTGGAAACTGGATCTAGCTGGATCTGTGGGCCCTGGGCCCTTGCTTTCTTTTGCTCAGCCTCTCCTGGGTGTAGATTACATTAGTCGGGGGCATGATGGGGCCTCCTGCTCTGTTCATGCTAGAATCATGGGTCAGGATGAATGAGATCTGTTGAATTTTCTGGCAGGAAAATTCTCTCTCTCTCTCTCTCTCTCTCTCTCTCTCTCTCTCTCTCTCTCTCTCTCTCTCTCTCTCTCTCAAGACAGGGGTTTTAGGGAAATATTTATTAGCAATGAACTTCAAAGAATCTCAACATATAAGCTAGCTAAATGGGTTGTAGCTGAAAAATTTCTGCACCCTGATAAGCCTCTCTACCAATGCAATAATCCAAATCAAAACAAATTAATCCCAGCACTTGGGAGGCAGAAGCAGGCAGATCTCTGTGAGTTCGAGACCAGCCTGGTCTACAGAGAGAGTTCTAGGACAGCCTCCAAAGCCACAGAGAAACCCTGTCTCAAACCCCCACCCCCCTCCAAAAAAGGGATGCACTCACAACAACAAGATAAAGCAAAGTAAATAAACAAACAGAAAAGAGAAAACAAAATACTACTAGCCCACAGCAGGGTGAAGTGACAGGGAGGGCAAAAGCCAGTAACCTACATTAATTGAGAAATTTCAAAGGCACATGCAGATATCACTGTGGGGTTGTAACATTACTCCAGAATCTTCTAGTTTAGTTTTGGGTAGATATGAGGTGTGTGTGTGTGTGTGTGTGTGTGTGTGTGTGTGTGTGTGTGTGTGTGTGTGTGTGTGGCAGAGGGCTGGCAGTGGTGTTGAGCCAGGCTGGGGCAGGTAGGATGCATGGCTAACAGAGCTGGAGTGTGTTATCCCTGAGTAGTGGGGGCAGGGTGCCTTTAGCTCCATGTGAGAGGAGCGATTTGATTCCTTCCTGCCAGCACTCGGGCCCCTCGGAGATCTCTGGGCAGGAAGCACTGGGAACAAGGAATTCTCTGTCTGCAACCAGAGGGCAGTCAGGACAGGGGAGGTGGATTAGGACTCCCCAGGAGGGAGGCTGCCCAGCAGCTCCCTGACATTTGGGCAAGCTCCTGTGTGCACGGGGAGGTGGGGGCGCAGCAAGGGGAGGCGGAGATCTATCCAAGCATTTATTCTTCATGCTCTTCAAGCCCTCCCAGGAGCCATGTTCGGGGGCGACTCTGTAGGACCCTGTAGAGAAGGAAGAGGCCATAGGTATCAGCCACCGTCTCTCTACTGAGGGAGCCAGGGAATGTGAGAGACAACTTGCTGCAGTGGAGGCCGCTGGCCCACAAGTTAGTCGCGTATGCTTTCTCCAGGGTCTTGACCCTGTTGCCTTTCCTTTCTGGGCCTCAGCTCCACCTTGCATACAATGTGGGTGAGCATATTCGACCTGTTGAAGTTGTTCTCAGATGGGGGAGGCTGGGCCAACGCACAGCGGCAGTCCCCACAGCCGCTGCACAGATGGGCTCTTGCCCCAGGTTGACCTGTGGCCGATCATAGGACTGAAGGATGACGAGTCAGGCTAACTCACATAAACTCACTGTCTTTCTCCCACTACGACTTGTCTCTTCCCTTTGAGCTGTCCTCTGCCAAACAAAAAGGACTGTTTTTCTGCTAGTGTTTATCTGTCAAGAGAAAGACTCTTAATTGGTCCCATCCTTGTAAGACAGGGACATTGTGCCGGGCGGTGGTGGCACACGCCTTTAATCCCAGCACTCGGGAGGCAGAGGCAGGTGGATCTCTGTGAGTTCGAGGCCGGGCTGGACCGACAGCCTCCAAAACAATACAGAGAAACCCTGTCTCGTAAAAAACCAAAAAAAAAAAAAAAAAAAAAAAAAAAAAGACAGGGACATTGTGAGTTGCTTGGCATAGGTCAGGTTCCTGCCCATGTGCCTAATGGAGGGGTGAGGCTACCACCACACCAAGGTCATGGTGACTGCTGGGCAGAAAGCCCTGGGTCACACTAGAGTTTTTGTGGGGTCCTGGTTATAGGAGAAGGAACAGTTCATAGCCTGCAGGGGGCAAAAATGCCCCCTTCGACGATGTTGGGTATAAAGCACCCACAGTGATAACAACAGCTTAATGACTGCATTATCCTCTGCATGAGACCCTGGGTCAGCCATTCTCCTCTCTGAACTTATTTGTGATAGCAAATGGGGCAATGATGGCACCTCCTCTACCGATCTGCCGGTGTAATTAAACGAGGGAATACGTCCAGCCTAAAGCCTTGAAGGAAGCAAAAGCCCAATAATGCAGCCTAGTAATGGAGGCCTGCGTGCTTTCAGGCCCCACTGCTTGGCACGAATCACCCTCATGACAGCCCTTTGGTGGGCACCTCTACAATGGTCATCAGCCCATTGTACAGGTGCAGAAGCAGAGGCGCAGCTAAGTCTACACACTGGGATTCAGGCCCATGGAGCCTGGCTTCAGAGCCCACCTTCAGGTCATTCTGCTTGGTAGGCCATGGCGCCACGGTGCATCTGCTTAGTGACACAGTTCACAACCTGCAGAGACAGCCCAGACCTAAGCTGTACTGTTCTGACTTCCTGCTGAGGCCCACTGTCTGTCTCCATGCACATCTGCCTGTCCAACATGCAGCTCTGTACCAGGTATTTCAGAAATGAAGAAAAACCATGCATGAACCTGCCTAAAAGGTCTTTCAAACCAAGGCTGCGTCAGTAGGCTTTGCTTACTTCAAGGTTCTGTACTGGACATATTATCTCATTAAATTACACCAGCCAATCGGTATAGGAGGTACTGCTATTACCCCATTTGCCAGTGGAAACACGCTTAGAGAGGAGAGTGGCTGGCTCAGGGTCTCAGGGCTGAGAATCCTCAAGCTGTTGCTTAAGTTCCTATCTGCTGGGCTTCAGCGCCTTTGTTAAAATGACTGTCATCCCTGTGTCCTCCAGAGTGGGGTGAAGGTGTGCAGCTTTCGCTGTAACACAGTGTGCAAATTACCATCGAGAGAGGCGGCAAAGCACAGTGGGAATTCAGAGGAGAGAGGTCAGGGAACAGGGGAGCAGGAAGCCACAGATTCAGTTGAATGGAGCTGGGATCTGAAGGTTTGCTTCAGAAAGGGTTCTCCACGAGAGGGGAATACCTTAGTGATGACAGGGAAGGGAGAAAAAGGGGTCACTAGATTTCCCCAGGATTGGAGAGCTGCAGGCAAAGATGGCCAGCTGTGTTTTAGCCCTCATCCAAAGTGTCCCTTCCTTCCATCTTGTTTTATTCAGTAGTGCAAGAGAGATATTCAGTATGCTTCCCCCTTTCCAGATGTGAGGCGGCTAGCCCCACCGGGATGGTGGACCCCCAGGGCATGCTCACTTGTAGGTTTTAGAATTAGCCTTCCTTCACTCCTGCTGGGGCTTGGGGAGGGAGGATGGTCCATTGCCCAGGGTTCAGAGCTCTGAGAGGCGGGGTGGATTCTGGCAGCCTTGCTGGAGAGGGGGCTCCCTATCCCCACTCCTGACGACGGACTGAAGCAGGTGGCACAGGCCCTTGAGGAGGCCTCTGTCACTGTTAATCGTACTGGATAGACAGGTGGACAGTACCCCTAGCAGCCCAGGCTTAGTCCCTAACCTGTGTCTGAGATCGAGGAGAACCAAGAAATGAGTTTGCTGTTAGTGACAGTCATACTTACTGAGCGGGTCCTTATCTCCCCATTTTGTAGGTGAAGACCCCAAAGTTCCAAGGAAAGCAATGAGATGTCTTTGTCACACAGAAGGTGGCTGTGACACTGTCTTCTGCAGAAGGGCCAGACTCATGGGAGACTCAGTCAGGAGGCCTGCCCTTCCTTTCCCTGCCTTTGTCAGCTCATTGCCCTCCTGACTCCAGCTGCACCGACTGCCCCCCAGCCTCACCCCTGCAGTAGCAGGTCATCCCTTAACTGCCTGCCTGCAGCCAGAGGGGATGTTTGGGGAGGGCCCGCCTTGGGAATGTTCCCCAGATAAGGCTCAGCTAGACAGCGTTTCTTCTGCAACTACATGTCTCTGGGGTCCTGGAGTTTCTCTGATAGTCTCCAGCTCAGAGACTAAAATAGAACTAAAATCGAAGTATTTCCCACAGAAGGATTTTCAGCCTCTCATCTCTCTCTTCTCTCTTTTCTCCTCTCTGTCTCTGTCTCTGTCTCTCTCTGTCTGTCTCTGTCTCTGTCTCTCTATGTTTCTCTCTGATTTTCCTTCATAACCCTGAAGTACAGGGCAGGAAAGGAAGTGCCTTGTTTGTTTTGAGACAGGGTCCCATGAGTAGCCCAGGTTGGCCTTGAATTCACCATTAAGCTTAGGATGACCTTGAACTTCTGACTGTCCTCCTGTTGGAATCTCAGGCATGCACTGCCACACCTGGTTTATGTAGCACTGGGGATTGAATCCAGGCCTTTGTATATGCTAAGCAAGCAGTCTACCAACTGAATCATATCCCCAATCCTAACTGTCCCATTCCGTGTTAACTGAGGCTCAGAGAAGGAAAACAACTTCTTCAAGGACTCACATTTAGCCTAGTAGAGCTAGGTTTCAACACACAGGACTCCAGCTCTTTCTTCCCATTGCCTGGAGCTGACAGCTGTGGGGAGCTTTGAGGGATGTTCTCTCTGCTCCTCCCAGTACTCCTTCCTTGTGTGTGTGTGTGTGTGTGTGTGTGTGCGCGCGCCCACACATGAGCATCATGCCTCCAGTGCAGAGTGGCCCAGACTTCCTGAGAGCCGCAGAATAAGGTCTCCTGTGTTTT